TAAAAATTTGTTCTATTGTGTAATAGTGTTTATATTTTATATTAAAATTTATGTGAATAAATTAACTTGATTATTTTTAATTTTATGAGTATTTTGCCAAGTCTTGAATTTTATGCATTAATGTTTATCGTATTAAAATCGACATTTTAAGTACAATTATCTATATTTTAAATAATTTTCAAAATGAAATGCTCGCATAAAAACAATAAGTGGTCCTTTCTTTAAAATAATCCCAAATAATAATTGACACACAAATTAATGACAATTTCAATCAATCAGACAACAAACCATAAAATCAAATTCATGGTAAATTAAATATTGGGAATAATATTCATGTTATTTGACGCTAATATGTGTGTTAAGCAATACAATAGAATTTGCATAAATAACACTTTCAAATTCAACATCTGATTGATTGGAACCTAATTTTTAACTCAAATTAAAACTCCCATAAAGTTTTCATTTAACTTAAAATCAATGATAGTATCATTCAATGCATTAATCTTTGTATTCCCTTCTTATCCTGTAATATAACAATAATAATAATATTTTATTGTTTATAATAAATAAATGTGTCACAAGTTTGTTGTGATAATTTTTTGTCATATAATCTTTTAATTCACTTAATTACTGGTCTATTAATGTATTTTTATGTTGATTTTACAAATAGTACTTTTATTTATATTCTGTTCTACAATCAAATGGAGAGTGCATTAGAGCTAGATTTTTATCAATAATGTGTCGACAAAGTTGTCAAAAATATTTTGTCTCCCAATTAATGCAAATAAATATTTTAAAACCGATTCGTTCCGTCATTTATTCTAAAAACCAGTTATACTTAATTACAAACTATAAGTCTCTCCAATCAAACCATAAATTATTAATTAAATAGTAATTACTATTTCGAGGAAAAATACAAACTAACAGTTAATGTTATATAAATTATGAGTTTGTTTTCCAAAAAACTAAAACAATTTTAGCCAAAAACTAAAAGACCTTAAGCTTAAGTGTCAACAAAGTTATAAATATGTAAACAATAATTTGCAATAATAAATAAATAGTAGTAAATAGTAAATAATTACCCGAAGCAGCGGAATAGCGATTGGATAAATAGGATGAGGTATTGGTTGAGAGGGAAGTCGAGGGCGACTTATATGATGACGATATGGACGACAAGTGTGTACTTAAATAATTTGACGGCCGGTAAGCCGTCAAGTCATACGAGGAGCGACTCTTTTGGCTGAGGGCTGAACTCGAGTACGGCCTCACCGATGAGAAGGTAGAGCTGGACGACACGTTACGAGACAGGGATGAGTTGGATGGGTATCCGGACGACGAGTAGTATGTGGTCGATAGCGCCGGCATTGTTGCGATCAATTCCTAATTAGTCCTGACCTTCAATTATGTCTGCAAATAACCAATCAATATATTAACGCAAATCATATACAATATATACATTATATTCTCTAGTTTTAGATTCTATTAATTAATTTTAATTATAATAATTAATAAAAAATATTCGTGTTTTCATTTCAATACTTTATTAGTTCATTAAATATATTAGTTTTGGAAACAAAAAACCCATAAAAATCGATAAAAATATTTCGCATTTATATAAATACATCACTGTTTTATGTAACACTTTATTTTTATTATAAATACAGTATAAATATTGTACTAAAACACGAGATTGTATTAAACATGTCATTAAGTCGTTTACTGAATCTCATTTCTAAACCACGAGAAAACTAAAAAAGTAGTGAAATGACTGGCATTTCATGTCTATTATAGGACAAGCATTAATTGTAAGACATTTTATTAAATATACTAAATTACAAAACAATATATAAATTGTGTCTCAAATGAATTGCATAATGTTTTTGGATTTCATCCCATTTAATGGCAAAATAAAGCTATATTTTAGACAAAAAATATATTATCGTTTCATGAAGATTTAATTTCAATTTTTCAGATATTTTTATATTACTATACATTTAATATTGTAATATATGAACCAAATATTTATTATATCGTATGAAACGATAATTCAAACGATTAGGTTTGCTATAGTCAGCTAAACAATTGTCGCTTACATCACAGTAAAAGTATCGTAAAAACAATTTTCAAAAAAGTGGTACATTTCTGCAGTCCATACCTAACTCTATCTCACTGTTAGTCTCTCGTTATCTCAATTGCTATAATAAATACACAGTAATAATATTATTATTATTACGTTATCATTACTATTATAATATCATTAATGCCATTCACATACATATTCAATGAAGAGGTGTATTATAAATACAGTTTCTGTTCAGCAAAAAACAGTTTCTAAAAGTAGAGAAAAGTAAAGAAAGAGTAAGTTTTATCAAACAAATACTTCAATTCAATTGCGATAAGAAAAATCACTTTAAAACAAACTTCAAATATTGTTTCCATCACGTAAAATAAGTAATAATAGTCTTGTGCTCAACACTAGTATAATATTCACCCATTGATTGTATACTAAAATATTTCTTATGTTGAATTTTATTGAAAAATATTTTAACATTTAAAGTGCTTAGAAATACCCATAAATAGTAACTCCTATTGAGTGCTATTTATATAACTTTCGGTTAATTGTTTGTATAATTATTAACACAATTTTTTCACACATTAATTATCTATAAATACATTAAATATTTATTATAATAATCAATTTGTTTCCTTATATAATGTACTTTAAGTACAAACAATTATATTCTATTTCAAATAATTACAAACAAAATTTGCCACAATTTCCAGATTTATGGTCCTTTTGAGTCAATAAATATGACATTATATAAACATTCCGCAGTTTTTTAATCTATTTATTTAAACTAAAATAAAAACCATTTAATTGTACACCAATTCATATATTCAATGAAGTATTTTATATTTGATTTATTATGGAAAATAGTAATCATTAAAAAACACTGACATTCTCTCTCCCAATGGCTTCACTAATATCAGCGATTATACCAATTCTCTACCCATTTCTAGTGATAACTAATATGTTATCAAAATATTTGTATAATTCATGCAATGATAGGTTTGAAGACCGTAATTATATAAAGGTATTCAGAAAACTGAATGTATATAACAGTTATTATACATTATAATTAAAATATTTTACATTTAAAGGCTATTACGAAAGAGTGAAAACATTAACTCGTCTTTTAAAGTGTTAATCAAATATTTCTTCTAAAGTCAAATCACTGTTTGAAACAAATATTCAATACATTCAACACTTCGTGAGCAAAAATATTCGTATAATTTTATACAATATTTGATTTTCATTGCAAGTCCTCTGATATGAGAAGATTTGTGAGACTCTGTTATGAAAGCATTAAATATTTAAATTAATTCACTGAAATGGCTCTACATTTCTGTCAAAACTTAATTAATTAATAATAAAAACTCATTTCAAATGAAAAACTCTAATAAAAAACGATGGGATATATAATGATATATAAAAACTGAATTCAAGTTCACATTAAATGACAGCAAAAAAAACATAATATTTAAAAGCAAACATTGATTTCAATCAGACGAGTGCTTAAGTAAAAAGATTTGTGGCATAAAAAATAGGAGACATTAAGACATTTTTGAGATAATATAAAAGTTGTAACCCTTTTAAGACGACTCACTTATTAAAAGTGCTAATATTGAAAGAGTTGGACACAAATTCTTGCGTTAAGTAATAGTTTTATAATAAATTTTTGGGAAAACAATAAATAATTCATTACAGCATTTAGTGGTAGGAAAACCAGTTTGTAATCTCTAATTAAATGTACGACCAATGCATACATTGAATGTCTTCAACACAACTCTTAAACCAAACATCAAAAATGTTAACCAAAAAATTCCGGCAAACAATTAGTAGTGAATAAGTTTTGAACGTTTTTTAAAGTAGTAATAATCAGTAGTTTTGAGGCGTTTTGACACAAAACGGGTTAAAATATTTGTTTCAAATCAAATTCTTTGCATATTTTTCTGGTATTCATAATTAAAATGCAGTCAAAAAATAAAAACTTTTCTCATAAATAATTTGCCCAAAAATGTCTGAATAAACAATAAATTAATTGAAATTTAAACCAACAACTATTTGAACCACAAAATTGAGTCCAAAAGTGTCGTAAAAAACACAATCTCTCCTTAAAATGAAATTATATCTACAAATAAATACCTTTTAATTAATCAAAATGTTTATTAATTTTCAGATAACAATTGAATTCATATCTCAAAAAGTATTACAAAATCAAAGCCCAGTAATTGAAGAGAAACACTGTCTTTACGTCAATCGCTATTCACTATTCAAATCATTAATCTATAAAAAAAACTATAAAATAAAATATTTATTAAATTACTATTTTTACACTCAATTCAAACAATTAACAAGAAATACAGTGTTATTACAAATGCCGTTATATTTGATAATAACAATGCCTTTCAATACGAGTCTCACATATAAGTGAATATTATAGCAAAACATATCAAATGAGACAATGGTTTGGGATTTGATGTTTGCATTCAATTCAATGACAAATACACTGATGTTTATGTAATTAATATTTGTTTTCATTAATTAAATACATTATTATTAAGAGTAAGCGTAGAGTAAATACACGGCAATTGTAAACATGCAGTTGTATTGACTACAAACTCAATGTCTTACCGATTGTGTGGCTATTTGTCGGTCGGCGTCGCTATCAATGGCAACACAATTACAGCACAATTATAACACAATTACAACAAAACTGTCAATCATTTTGAATTCACAATCAATTAATTGATATAATAATCAAAAGTGAATCACAAGTGAAACACAAGTGAATCGCCGTTCATATGAAGGCATCGCTTGTTATGAAAGAGAGAGTGAGAGAGAAGAGAGAGGGAGAGAGAGAGAGGAGGCGAGCAATGATTGGTCGCAATGCATCTCAATCTCTATCAATCTCTATATGGCTTTCGTCTCAACACTACATGTCTTTTCAATGCGACAAAAACAACATTACTTTCAGTACAACAACGCATGCGCTCTAAGCACACACCCCAAGCATCCCATCCCCTCTCTCTCTCTCTCTCTCTCTCTCTCATCTTCAAAACGTTATCTCATTTTATGGCATATTTTAATGCACTTCTTATGACACACTCTTCTCTCCCACTGTCTCTCTCGCCCTCTCTTCTTATGAATATTCCCACTATTTTTCACTTTTATACACTTTTTCTCATTTCAATTATACTTTTCTTCTATTATTTCGTAATCTATTATACAATTTACATCAAAATATGTACAAACGTACTGTACTATCTAATTGCCGATTAACTACTTGTATTGTAAACGACCTTAGCCAAACTTCTAGTATTCACATCGTTGTAATAATTTTCGCCTCTCTC